ATAGCATGAAACCATTTACATCTATTTTAATCAATAAACTGAAATACCCTTCCCTCGCCCCCCAGAAAAACAGCAAAAAGTATTTAAAAGGTTCATATTAAATATTGCCAAACCCTAGGCAGCAGTGCATTGTGGGCTCTCTGTGAGGTAAATCTGCTACAAAAGATACCCTGAGCAGAATATTGAGGTGCTTCAATGAGCAGCTGTCTGCTGCTGTTGCCTTGTGAAACAAAGTGCTTTGTGATTTTCAGAAGGTGCTAGCTGTTGCAATAGATGATAACATACTTTATGCTGTTTTGGGGAAGACACACCCCTTTTTTTATTCCACCTCACACACTGTAGTTATGGTGAGCATCATGTTACTGTAGGAGAGAGCAGTTGCTAATGCTCTCAAAAACAATGTGACAGGATTGCATCTGTGTCCCTTCAACCCATATATTCTTGCCTGCATGTTGACTTTGCCCTCCTTATTTGATTCGCTATTCCTGACATGGTTGCATAAGCACAGACAGGATTTGCTCCCAAATGGTTAAAGTTTTATAACTTTAGTTTGTTTTCTCTAATATAGAAACAAAAATTAAATTTGAAAAAGGGAGTGCTTCAAATGGTAATTACATATGAATTTGCATATAAGTCATATCACCAGTCATTTTTTTGTATTTTCTAGGGTTAAATTAAAATCAGGTGATTCCAGGCTACTGACAAAGTCATAGTTGAGAATTAAATATCTCATACTGAAGAAGGGAACATCTCAGGAATGTGGGTCCAACAGTTACTTAGCAGGGACCCTGTATAAACTGTGCCAAAACTCAGTAAAGCTCCATGAGATGCCACGTATTGAACATCCAAATCCAACATTGTTTTTGGAGTAAATCTCCGCACAATTATGTAAAAAGAAAAGGAGTACTTGTGGCACCTTAGAGACTAACAAATTTATTTGAGCTTGTTAGTCTCTAAGGTGCCACAAGTACTCATTTTCTTTTTGAGGATACAGACTAACACGGCTGCTACTCTGGAACACAATTATGTAGGAATTGAGTAGGAACCTCCCAGTTTGGGGCCTGATTCTCCAAGGTACTTAAGCAGGAGTCTGACTTTAAGCATTGGAGAAGCCAAACAGTGCTATCAGACACTTAAAGTCAGGCTCCTGCTTAAGTACCTTGCTGAACTGGAGTCTTAGCAAGCTATTTAGGAAGCTTATTTGTTCATTTGGGAACTTTCTCACAGTTTCACTCTAACTGAAAAATTAGATCTTAGCACGATTACCCTACTAAATGTTTATTGCTGCCTCTGACCATGGTGCAGGATTAATAAAGAGACAGAAATGTTTCTCCATGATCCCATAAATTATTTAGTACAAATCTGTTTTAGTTTAAAAACATATTTTTTCTTTAATACACAGTTCTTTGCAAATTACTTCTGTGGCCTTTTTTAAGTTTAAAAAGAAACAAAGGCTGATTCCTTTAGAAAAAGATAGTGTTACTTGTGCTGTGTGCAAGTAAAGTATTTTTAAGTGGCTTGAGCAATAAAAAAACAAATTTACAAAGTTTATTATAGATTGTGCCATCTGGATAAATTGAGTTTGTTGTTTTCCAATAGATAACATCTGTGTATTAGGCAGTGCAACCTGGTGTGTTATCCACAATTACTGCTTATAAAACAAACACAGTTTGTCCTTGTGCACAGCTTCCAAATATATATTTTTAGGTTTGATGATGCTGCCACTTGGAAATGACTTTTAAATGAGATTTGTTTTAAAAAAGAAAACTTGTTAGAAATAACGTAAGGGTGGGGAAAATATCCAAGAACTTCAGAGTTATTAAATGTGACAAATTCCACCACAAAGGTGCATGTTGATTATTACAGTATGGTAATTACATTAAAAAAAATTGGCTAGGATACAGTCCCCACATACAGCTAAACACCGAATGCAACACTAGAGGTTAGGGTGTTTCTCTGCTAGTTGGTGGTATCTCATTAGTTTGAGTTGTTTTGGTTCATTCTGGGATTTCTTCTTGACACTTTTTCTTGACCAAGGCACCATCAGGAATGTACAAATTCTTCTGGGATGCCTAACCCACGCTAAATACTAACCTTGCTAACCTTACCAAGTAAAGGCTCCACCACAACAGACCATTAGTTATCTCAAAAAGCTGCCTGATAATGGTAAACCTTAAGAAGGATGCTATGTTTCCATGACCACCCAACTCTAAAGAATTTTGCTAACTTATTAAGATCTTCTACGCTGTAGCATTTTCCATGTTTGTTTTTCAAATTGTCTCTCCAAAAAATGCTGGGTAGCTTATAGCCACTTCATTAAACATTCACTTTTTAGAAAGCGACTGATTGACCTCCGTCATGAGCACCCCTTCACTCTCTCTGCAGTCATTAGGGTACTTAGGGTAACAGCTATCAAGGATGTATTGTATGATACTGAGGGTAAGTCTATGCTACAAGTGCTATAGCTACAGCATTGCAGCTATGCCACTGTAGTACAGATACTTCATACAGCGATGAAAGGGGGCGTTCTGTTGGTATATCCACTTGGTAGCTATGTCAGTGGAAGAATTCTTCCATCAACCTACTTACAGCTATTGTGGGGGTCAGCTCCACTTAATTACATCACAACGGACACAACATTTTTCTTATTTACTTTAGGTGTAGATGGGGCCCAAGGGTTTTACGAGGGGACTACAAGAGTCTATTACAGTGATATAGGGTGACCATGTTTCCCTATGCTGAATATGGGACGCCTGGTAAAATTACTCGTATTCAAGCGAGTCCAATGGCAATCAGTCATAGAAACGTTCAAATTAACATCAAATTGACTGAGCCCCTGTTAAAAACAAATACTGTGTAGTTGGATTCTTTTATTTACCTTCTTATCTTTAGGGCTTTAGGGCTCACGTAGAGAGGGGTAACACACACACCCCTACCCCTCATACACACACATGGGGAGGGGTGACACACACACGCTCCCGCACACCTCTCACACACCTCCCTGCCCGATGCTGTCTGAGACAACACGGGGCGCCGTCCTGAGACAACACGGGGCGGGGGACACATGCAGTCACATGCCCTCCCCTCCAGATTTCTGCCACCAGAATGTGGCCAGCAGCAGCTTTTTCTCACTGTGAGGGAGGGAAAGGATGGGAGCTGCTTCCAGCTGCAGGGAAGGAGGATGTGGGGGAGGGGAAGGGATGACCTGGCCTGTGTCCTTGCAGAGCTCATCTCTTCCCCACCTCCCCCCACCACTCCCATGTGGCTGGAAGCAGTTTGTCCCTTCCTGCACACATAGTGTCAAAAGGCAGCTAACCCCTCCAGGTTGCTGCTGGCCACCAACATAACCTAGCCGCCCCCGGCTACAGCTCGGGCAGGAAGGGGTTAAGCCCTAAGGATGCATTATGCACAGGGGCCCAGGGAACCTGACTTCAGGGGCTTTGGCAAACCCGGCCAGAAAGGTGGCTCAGCAGGGGATGGAGCAGCCCTTTGCCCCTTGGGGGCAGGACTCAGGGCAGGGGAAGGGGTGAGGAGGGTGCTAAGCCCTGGCCCAGGGGCTGCTGTGGATCCTGCAGGTTATGGGCATGAACAGGCTGGAAATCGCTTCTCTCCCCCCCCCACCCCCCATCCACTCCAGAGCTTAACTGAGGGGCAGGGAGGTTTCCCCTTGCCAGCGCTGTGTGGGCTTTGGCACATGCATGGCTCCGCTCCTCTTGCTCAGTGCCCTGGCCCAGAGGGTCTTGGGCTTTCCCAGGGCACCGGCCCAGCCAGAGGCAGTGGGGGAAGGAAGGAGCCTGCCAGCCAGGCTGTTGGTGAGCTCAGCGCTTCAACCAGGGGCTGGTTCTCCGCACAGTGCTGGGAGCGGGATGCACGCCGCTGGGGGGTGGGATATGTTGGAGTAGTGGGGCTGAGTGGAAGGGGTGGGGGCAAAGAGGCAAAGTAGAGAAAGGACAGTGAGAGGGGAAGCACGTAAAGGGCCAATGGGTGGGCAGCAGAGGCAACATGTTACCGGCCACCGCCTGGCGCCTGCCTGCATTCACCAACCACCGCAGCTCGCAGCCAGTGCCAGCCAGAAAGGGGATGGGGGGCGGGGCCCTGCAGGCCAAGAGCTGGCATGCTTCGGGGGGAGTGGCTGGCCCTGTGCACTGCATCTTCACCCCGCTACCAGCCTTATATCCCCACCCCCATCATTGGCCACTGGACCCCCCGACTCACCGCAGGTGGCTGGTGAGCAGGATCTGGCCAGCAGTAGGACCCACCACTACTGATGCGGGGGAGACAAAAAATACAGGGCAATTTGCCCGTTTTTAAGAAAAAGTCAGGACACCTGCAGGAGGGCTTAAACGTGGGACTGTCCCTTTAAAAATGGGACATCTGGTCATCCTGCAGTTATATGAATCTTTACCTGTTTTCTAGAGATAGCATTACTAACATTCTACTATCATTGTGAATTTCTATGATGTGTTGATGGAAGGAAATTCATGCAGTCGTCTCAAACGCATGCTTATAAAACCTTGTATCACAACACATCACCATGAACTATGTACACACACCAGCAGGAAGGGGAGATTTTGAGCTTTCCATTGGGACAGAGTATTTGCTTCTTGTAGTTTCTGAAATGCCAGATGTGAAACATAAGATAATGTTAAAGCTATTTAAGATAACGAGACCATTCTAAGACATTCATCTCCCCCAGTACTTGTAAAGTTGTACTCAGTGTGACCAATATATCGGGGGCGGGGGGAGGAGGGAAGAGATTTCATTAATAGCACCAATTTAAAAAAAACCACAACATCAAAAACAAAACCTCTAAAACATAATACACCTTTCTATACACTGTGTGTTGATACTGTATAAAGGTATTCCGACTGTGAAGTCAATGGGACCATTTGTGGAGTAAGATGTTGCTAAACAGGAGCAAAGGTGTCAGAATCTGGCCTATAATGAATTTAATGGAATAGCTTTCTCATCACTACCTCTTCATTATATGTCATCTGCAGGAGCATCCTCAGGTGCCATTGACTTATTACCCACTCCTAGTCCAGCAACTAACTGGACAGCTGGGCTTCTGATAGACAACAATGACATGATTTTTAAATTTGATGGAAAACAAGGAGCCAAAATTCCTGATGGAATAGTACCAAAGAATTTAACTGATCAATTCACTATCACTATGTGGATGAAACATGGACCTAGTCCAGGACTGAGAGCTGAAAAAGAAACCATTCTTTGCAACTCTGACAAGACAGGTGAGTCTATTTATTTTAAATCTTTTTGGCAGAGATCACGGTGGCATGAGTGGAGTTTTTCTTCCCATCAGTTAATATATTTTGAAAGGAAGCCATAAATCTTGAGTATTGTGTCTCTGAAAGTTTTACACATTCCTTAGTTGGGTGGTAACTGAGCTCAGTGAAAGTTTCCGCAATACTTTTGCATTTCTCAAAATTCATCTGAGGATTTTGTGGAGAGTGGTTGACAAAATGGGGAAAATTAGTTTTTAATTTTTCATGATTTAGATTTGGGAAATTAGTTTTAAGTGTTAATTGAAATCAGATTAAATATTAATTGGAAAACTGCTGACCTAATTAATCCATAAACTAAATGGATAGGACCTAATCCTCGATGATGGTAAGCACCTGCAGCTTTCACTAAACTCATGAGGAGGTACAATTCTGAAATAAAATAGAATGTTATGTTTGTTGGTTTGTTTGAAGTGTATATTGCTTATACAGGCAGAATTTTTATTTGAGGCAAATTCAGCTAGACAAAGCAATTATGACACTTCAGTGGTCTAAGCCTCTTTATTTGTTATATATTTTCAGAAATGAATCGGCACCATTATGCACTTTATGTGCACAACTGTCGTCTTGTGTTTCTGCTGCGTAAAGATTTTGACCAGGCTGATACATTTCGCCCAGCAGAGTTCCACTGGAAGCTGGATCAGGTACTTGGGCTCCTTTTGTTATCTGTATATAACCTATACTTACGAGGGATGGCTCTCTGTTCCACTCATCAACGTTGAAGAGTTTGCTGCAGGCTTTGAGCTAACTGTTTTTATCTCGTTGCGATAGAGGCTTGTAATTTTAGATCCAGAGCTCCTGGGTTTGATTCCCATTGATGACAACCACGCAGGGGCATCACATTACATGTAGTTCCTAAAAAGTCCTCCGTTCACCATCAGAAGCCTGTTTTATTTGCACAATAGAACTGATTTAGACCTTTCCAATAAGGACTTTGCTGATGTGGAGACAAGTACTTGATGGTGTGTGTTGACTTGTCCTTCCTAGTCTGTAGACTCCTACATTCAGTTGCTGTTATATTTAATTTTGCTTGATTACGAAGAACACTTTATGGAGAAAATATTAAGTAACCGAAGGTTGCTTTCCAGAGAATTATTAATTCTAGTCACGATAAGGATGATGCAAAGACACATTTTTACAGACTAATATTTGCTTAAACCAAGTTTTTGTGACATATTTTTGAGCACAAAATGTAAAGTTCACATACAGGTACAGCATTATGCTAATTGTTTAATCCCTTACTTTCCTGTTAAAATGGACCAGAAGGTTGCCTTGAATCCTGATTGTCAAATATATGTAACAGGAACCCATTTAATGGACATAGCACTTGTTTTTCACTTCTGGTATCCAGATGAGGGTTAGTTCCGGTATACTTGAAATGAAGAAGCCTTAAAATGCCTCAAAGGATGAATTTACACTAATGAATGGTGAACCTTAAAGGTCTTGTAAAAATGATTTAGTTTGATACTATTGTGTTGAGTGCAATAGAAATATTTATAAATCAATGCCAGGAAACTGAATTGCTACAGTAAAAGATAAGTTTTGATAAGCATTCAACATTTTAGAGATATTTATTCAAAACGTATGTGTACCATTTTGAGCTGGAAAGCTGAATTAAAATCACCTTGTGATTTTGAAGCAGGGTTATTTTTTTTTTTTCTTTTGAAGAGGGAGAAACAGTGTCTTTGAATAAGTAAACTAGCATGAAATTCCAGTAACTTAGCCATGACAAAGCACTGGAAAATGTGAAGTAGGGGACAATACTCCATTGATAGGGAGATGTCTAACAGCCTGACAGAACTTTTTCATCTCTACTACAGTCTGTGATTTTTTTCCTTCACGTGCTTTCTCTCTGTCATTTCCACACTTTTTCAGATATGAGGCTAAAAATTAGACACACTTGGAAATATAGAAATGGCAACAGCTTTACAATTATATTTTCCCTCTTACGTTCAAAACCAATGTATATCTTTAACTGGACTCTGGATTCTTTTCTTTTTTTCGTGTCTAGTCATATTTTTGCTTGTGATTAATATAGATGATGATTAGCAGGCAACATACATTCTCCGGGTTTATATTTTGATACTAACATTTCCTCCCTCTGTCTCGTGCAGAGTGCTGCTCACCTCCCAGTTGCTTTGGTACACCTTTCCTTTTGGATTTTAGGTATGATATGCTACTGTTTCAGAACAATACATAGAGCCAAATCAGAGTGTCTGTGTCAAAACTTGATAAATACAACTGCTATCCAGTGTCCAGTAAGGGGTGAATGAGGGCCTGAGGCTGTGAGCCAAATTCTCTGTGAAGTCAATGGAGCTATGACAGTTTACACGAGCAGACTGGTCTCACATCTTTAACTGAAGTTTAAACGTCATCCCAGCTATTTAGCTATAGTTCTTTGGTGTGTATCTTGAAGATTCCTGAAGATTTCATCTAGAGACAAATGAATGAGCCCTTAGAGACAGTTTGAGATTAACATGGCCATGCTCTGAGTTATATCTCTGGTGAGAGATGAAGAGCTTCACTCAGTTGAAGGAATCTCTGCAGGAGCAGATACCATTAGAAGGGAATCCAAACCAGTAATTGGCATATTATATTTCCATATTTAGTGAAATAATATTGGCCTGATTGTCACTAGAGAACCACTTTTATACTTAAAATATGCCCTCCATATTATCATATAGTATCAGGCATTGACCAACATTGAAGATGGACTGAAAATTTTTATGTAGGGGACTGGGACCCTATTACTTAAAAACCATTCAATGATAGAAAAGATTTATTAGATCAATTAGTTCATTTTTCTTTTCTCTGCTAGTGTAGGATAATACTCACAATATATTTTCTAGTGCTCTTCCATGCTGAAACAACAGGCTAAGTGTAAAGTGTACATAAAGTTTGTTATGGTTAGAGCGACTAGGTTTTTGTGACCCTTAGTTACTGTTGTCCCAGTCATACTGCAGGAGGCTTTGGCAACTAGGAAAGGTCACTTCTCATGTAAATGCACTCTCTGTTGCTATTCCCTCTGGCCTTCCAGCACCGTCTGCAAATTTTTCCTGAACCCAACCAGACTGAAACTCTGGGAAAGCTTTTCAAAGATAATTCCAATGGAATGTAAGTGCCTAATCTACTAAGGTGACAGGTTTCAGAGGAACAGCCGTGTTAGTCTGTATTCACAAAAAGAAAAGGAGTACTTGTGGCATTGTGGCACCTTAGAGACTAACCAATTTATTTGAGCATGAGCTTTCGTGAGCTACAGCTCACTTCATCAGATGTATGGTGAAAATCCCAGTAGGTGCCTTTCTGCTTTTTTAAGGCACCTGAATATCTTTGAAAATCTGGCCCTCTGAGTTTAGTTAGGCCAGGATCTAGTACATGACCTCTCAGTCTTTGAAATGAATAGTTTAAGTGCTAGTGTGATGGAACCTGGCTGTTTCAGATTATTAACCAGATTCTCACAACCTGGAGCATGCTGTAATGTGGAAATCTGCAGACTTCATGGCATGTACACGGTTCAAGAAGAAAAACCAGAGGTTGATGCAGTGGGCCCAGCACAGAGCATCTGTTAATTGAAAGTAAACAGTGGGTGGGTACTTTATTGGGCATAAATTACTGCGTGACTCTGACAACAATTTGGTGCTTGTTTGAGCTGAGAGGAGTCCAGTGACCTCAGGAGCATGGATTATTTTTCACGAGTACTGTGGAGCAATAGAATTCATGATACCAGATTCTTAGGGTTCCCTGTTTAGCCCACAAGATGTTTGATGTTCTGAGGCAAAGATCACAGAAGGCAGCTTGTTTTCATCTTGAATATAATTTCTTATACTTCATTTATATCTATAGCAGGAAGACATAACTGAGTCCCAAATTCCATCCTCGGGTAAAGGCACAGCACAGGTTGCCATGTCAGATATTATATGGCTACTCTTCTTGTAGTGTTTCCTCCTTTTCGAATATGATGCAGCCTGCAGTTATAATACATGGGGAGACCTCCACACAGTAGGAGCTGCAAAGTTAGCTGTGAGCAGCTGTGGGCAGGCTGCTAAATCTATTCATAGGTTGATGGGGTTCTTTTCAGTATGGTATGTATTTACCCTATACCTTCCATTAAAGTTAATGGAAGAGTCACAAAGCTAAATTTTTGCACATGGTGCTAAACATTCACCCTATAGTCCTCCACTGACCTGAAAGTGTCATAACGTTGGGCCTGTACCTGCAGAGCACATTTAACCTCTTAGCTGTATATGTGCCAAAACACTAATAGTTAAGACTGTAGGACTTTAAACTGAAGGGACCCTTGTTATTCATAAGAAACATTAAAAAAATGAATACAGACTACCACTGATTCTTTTTAATCCCCACTTTAATCATCTCTGAAATTGATTGCAGCTGCCAGTATAGTTTCCAAGTGAGCCCCTTAGTAATGACCCAGAAGATAAGGTTCAGATAACTTTCAAGAAAAACAGTGTGTATCTCATATGCACACACTGTTAGCATAGCTGCAACATTTCCTAAGCAACTGAGCGACAGATGCCCCATAGGTAGCAGCTTCCCTATCTTCTGGCAACTATAGTTTATTGTGAAGCATAGGTGTTTCCTTCATTTCAATGTGCAAAATCAAACCATTTATTTTTTTGTTTTTGTAAATTTCCTGTACAGAAGTTTAAAAGGACATTTGTGAGGCATTTGCCAGAGCTTTTTAAATCATTTCTTTTCTCATAGTTAATTATAGAGCCCAATTTTCAAACTTTAGTATATATTAGGAGCTGATTTATCACCATAGTCCATATAATGGTGTCAGGGTTCCTTCCCCACTCTGAACTCTGGGGTACCGATGTGGGGACCCACATGAAAGACCCCCTAAGCTTATTTCTACCAGCTTAGGTTAAAACTTCCCCAAGACACAAAATTCCTCATATCTGGGATTCAGTATGCTGCGACCACCAAGCCATTTAACAAAGAATCAGGGAAGAGACCACCTGGAGATGTCTTCCCCCAAAATATCCCCCCAAGCCTTACACCCCCTTTCCTGGGGAGGCTTGAGAATAAACAAGATGAGCACAGACCAGCCTTGTGTTTTTAGGACCCTAAAAGCCCCATCAGATTCTTAAAAAACAGAACGTTATTAAAAGAGCAAAAGAAGATAAAAGAAACACTCTGTAAGATTAGAATGGAAGATAATCTCACAGGCAGTCAGATTCAAAACATAGAGATCCCTCTAGGCAAAACCTTAAGTTACAAAAAGACACACAAAAAGAGGGATATACATTCTCTCCAGCACAGCGAATTTCACAAGCCAAAAACAAAAGAAAATCTAACGCATTTTCTAGCTAGATTACTTTTACTAACTCTATAGGAGTTGGATTGCTTGCTTTCTTGATCTGTCCCTGGCAGAGGCATCACACAGACAGACAGACAAAGCCTTTCCCCAACCCCAGATTTGAAAGTATCTTGTCCCCTTATTGGTCATTTTGGTCAGGTGCCAGCCAGGTTACTTGAGCTTCTTAACCCTTTACAGGTAAGAAGATTTTATAGTACTGTATCAGAGCTTCTTAACCCCTTCCCTTTATATTTATGAGAAATGGCATCTAAATTGGCACTTAGTTGCCTAAAATGGCTATATGGAAGTTTAAATCCATATTTA